TGACCTTATTTTGCCAGATAAAGAAATTTGTGTCTCCATATACCCATGTATCCGAAGAATTCCCGATATGGCCTAACAGATTCTGTTGTGTGTGTGTCTTACAAATGAAACAGTAGTAAAAATTGCAGGTTTTAGGAAGTGGATATGGAAGTGCTGCATGAATTAGAGGTTAAAAGGGGTGGATTTTCTGGAGATTTTTCATATTGATAGCTTTTAAATGAGACTTAATGTTTGTGTAATAGAAGTTTATTGGCATAGCGTTGTCTTTCTCATACACTTTTTGGTACACACTTACTCTCTTGCACGTGCTCATGTTTTCTTGTGCCCACACCTTTTCCACACCCAGTATTTCTCATTTCTCATGCCCTCACACAGGCTTTCCCCACGTGCTCTGTCTCTTCCTTGCATGTCCCTGTGCTCGCTCGCTCTCCCTGACACCCTCTGCTTCATTGTCTCTTCCATGAAATTGTTCGTTCTCCCATGCTGGCTCTTTCTCACAGTCACAACTCTTCTCAAGCCTGCTCCCTTCCTCACACCATTGCTCTCTGTCTCATGTCCCTCCTTGCACCTCTTTCATGCCCTTACCTTATCTCACAACCATGCACCCTTTCTTGCCACCTTATTTTCACTGTCACACCCTCACTTTACTGCATGTGCTTTCACTTTTTCCCACCACATCTCTTTGCTTCACACTCTTCTCACGTTCTCTTCTCTTCCTCTGCCAATCTCTTTGTCCCACCTTCCCCTTCCCTTTCCTCTTCTTTCTCTCATGCAGTCTAGCACACCCTTTTTCACAGACTTTTCTCATGACATTACACACTTTCTTGCAACCTTGTGCTCTTTCTTACAACCTCATGCCCTTTTCTTGCAACCTCATGTTCAGTCTGTCTCACAACCATATGTTTACTTTCATGCACACTTTTTCTCTCACCATCTTTCTCTCTCAACACATTGTTATTTCTTGTGCATTCATACTCTGTTCCTTGTTCACTCCTTTCCCTTTCTTGCATGCTCATGCTCCCTCATCTCTTGTGCTTCCTTTCTTGCACATGCTCACGCATTCTCGTGTTCCCTTTCTTAAGCATTCTCTTTTTCTCATGCTCTTAATTTCTCACATGCTAGTTCTTTCCACTGCTTTCTCACTATCTCTCCTTCTCACTGTTTTTTCTTCCCTCTAGCTCTCCTCTTACTGCCTCTCCTCTCCCCTCTTTCCCTTAATCATGTGCACTTTATTGTGTGCTTGCTTTTTCTCATGCATGCTCATTTTCTTATGCCCCAATGCCCTTTCTCTTAACTCCACTGTTTCTTGCAATTTCACACACTTTCTTGCAACTTTACGCCAACTTTTTGACATGCTTTCACTCTCTTTTGCATGCATTCACTTTTTCTTGAACTTAATACTCCCCTCTCTTGCACCTCCTCCCTTTTTCACACCCTTCCTTTCTTTCTTGCACTCTTGCACCCTATCTTGCACTGCCATGCCTTTCCTCACAACCTCAATCTCACCCTCTCATGTCCTTGCACCTGTTTCCTCATGTGCATGTCCTCTTTCCCTCCCTGCTCATTTCTGCACACAACCCACTTCCCTCCCTCTCCCTCTACACCCTCTTACTCTCTCCTCTCTTCCCTTTTTTCTCTCCTCTCACACTTTTACTTTCATTATTTCCCCCTTGTTTCCTATCCCCTTGTCTTTCTTCCTCTATGTCTCAACAATTCTCTCTTGCATTCTCTTTGCTCTGTCCCTTTCATTGTTTCTCCACCCTCATCTCTCTCACCCCCTCTTCCTTTCATGTGTGCACTCACTCTTCATCACACATGATCATGCCCTTTGCATACTTGCACTCCGTCTTGTGCCCTCATGCCCATCCTTTCTTGTGCCTGCTTTTTCTTGGGGGAGTTTTCTCTTATTCTTTCTTGAGAGCTCTCTTGGAGGCCCTTTCCATCTCTGCCTGTCCCCTAACTTCCAGCTCTTGCTCACTCACTTTTTCTCCCATCTGCATCTGTGCTCTCCCACACACAACAATGCACTTTGTGTGCTCATTCCCTTTCTCACAACCTCCCTCCCTTTCTTGTGCTCTTAAACCTCTCCTCACACCCTCACACCCTTTCTGACAACCCCAGTTTTTGAGACCTCACCCCCTTTCTTGGCAGCTTGCACCTTTCCATCTTTTTTACCTCTTATGTCCTTACATGCTGTTTTTCCCGTGCTGCTCTCTCACAGTTTCTCTCGTTCTTTCTCCCTTATTCTCTTCCTTTCTTCCCCACTCACTTTTTCTGGATGATGACATGCTCTTCGCAAAGCCCACTCCTTTTCTCATGCCCTTGTTCTCTTTCTTATGACCAGTCTCACTGGTCACACTCTCACTTTCTTACCCGCAACCTTGTGCTTGTTCTCTCTCATGCCCTTGTACTTGCTTTCTTTCTCATGCCATCTCTCTTCTCAATATTCTCTTCCCTGTGCCATCTTGCTCTTCCATAAACACTTTCTGGTGTGCACTTTCCCTTGCATGCACATGCTTTCTCTTGCATGCACATGCTCCCTTTCTCACATGCTCAAGCACTAGCTTTCCCTTGCATCATTCCCTATGTACACTTATACCTTCTCACTCTGCACTCCTCACATGCTTTTCTTCACCCCCTTTTTGTCATGACCTTCACATTTCTCAAGCCCTCATTTTCTCACATGCACTTGCTCTTTTCTGCAATCTACTTTTCTGTGTGCACCTGCCCTTTCTGATGCCCCCACACTCCATCTTTATTTCACAACATTTCTTTCCTGTTTGGGCTTCCTTGCACGTTCTCCCCCCTCATTGAGCACTTTCTCAGAGCCCCTCTTTATGTCCCCTCCTCTCCTACCCATTTCACACTCTCATCACCTTCCTTTCCTCTTTCATGGCCCCCCGTTTGCCTCGCCCCCAACCCTCGCCTTCTTCCCAGCCCTCACCCCATACCTTTCACACAGGCACTCTTTTATGCTTTTTTATGCTTTCAACTCTTAATCTAATACTCTTTTCAGCAAGGTCCAGTGTTATGTCCCATTGAGGGAGAAGTATATGATTGCATTTTACACCGTGAATCCTGGAAGTGTGTAACAAGGTTTTAAACTCATCATTTTTATCCAGAAATGTTCACTCCAGAACTTCAGACCTGGAGCCCGAACCATCATTGTTACATGGTAACACAGTTAAAGTAAAAAATATCACTCTTTTGAAGGAGTCTTTGCATAGTTTCTCCTGCCTGTCCTCTTCCTGAAGATTAAAATATATATATATACACATCTCTTTGGAAGGTACTGTATGAATGCTTATTAGAAGGACTAAGATAAGAAAGGTTATGGCATATGGATACACACAGACTTTTCTTCATTATAGTCCTGGAAAGCCTAGATCTGTAGATCTGGCAGCATACCAGACACTTTAATCTGTTCAGACTCTACTGAATTTCCTTTGGTTTACAATGGAAAAATGTGTCTTCTCAATATGAGAAGGTCTTATAGGTATTTGATCTGAGCATCACTGATTGCTGTCTGTGCTATTATCCCATTTTCTTAACACAAATGTTCATTTTTCCTTCTAATGGGGGTTTTTAAAACCTTGCTAACCAGTGCTCAAATGATGGTTTTTAGTGGGCATTCTTATTTAGAAAATGCAAGTGTGGGACAGACAAAACCATTGTAATTTGAGCCAGGTCCAAGCAGAAATAAATGTAGTTGCTTTCAAGACCCAGGCTCAGCTTGTAAGGTGCACCAGCCATGAGTAGTCTGCTTCATAACCCATCTCCCACACTACCAGGAAGCATTAACTCATGAATAATGAGAATGAATTCTGGTGTGTAATAAATATTTTCAAGAGGTTCAATCTGTAATATATCTCCCACAACATTTATCTTGGCTTATCAAGACTCTAGTAGACTGAAGCAAATAAAGTTCCATAGATGAACATTGTGGTTGCAAAAATAAATCATTTGTTTGAACTGCTGTTCACCAGTCAGTCATATTGACTGTAAAAATTACATATTAGCAATATAGCTTCAAATATGCATCTGTGTTTATCTTCTGTACTAAAGGAATAAATGTTTTTATAAAATGACACTGATTTCAATACTGGTGTTCTGCTATGAGTCATGCTGCTAAAAAATTATTTATTCCTTAATTAATGCAGTTAAAATCAGTGATCAAAATTCATTGGGAAAATATTCAACGCAGATCAAAGTGGCAACATCTAAAATCTAGGATTATTAGTTAGAATGTTTTCAGTTTTGCCATCTGCTTTCAGTTAGGGTCTTGAATTGTGGAATGGTGGCATGTATATGAAGTATTTGATCCTGGAGTTGTGGGTTAAATGTGAAAATCTTGTTTTCTGTTAAAATGTGTTCTTGTTGGCTGGAGAAAAAGCCAACATGTATATTATAGCATAAAGTTCAAACATTTGAATGCAAATGGAATCTATTTTTAATTCATTTCTAGCCATTGACATGACTTTGGGGGCTGAAGTCATGGCTCAAAATTCTGGGAGCTGGCAGCATTGTTTTTGTTAACTGCTATAGGAATAGGGTTAGCTTTTTGCATCAAATTAACATTTCCTATGAATAACAAGTATTAGCATTTTTATAGTTTTTGTAAATATTTTCATAATGTATTGTTTTCACAGAAATTTATTGTAGTATTCAGGAGAAGATATACATCTGATTTAACTCCTCCTGAACTGATAATGTTTGTTTTTATTGTACCCTCAGCTTTACTCCTGCCAGTCTGTGGAATCTATGTTGTGATACCATGAACTGCAGCATTCTGGTGCTTACTATAATCAATTGTCATATGCTTTTTAAAGAGAGAAGAAATTAAGGATTTCAAGAGATAATGGATGAAAAACAATCTTTTTATTTTGTAAATCATACAGAATTGATGCTTTTTTTTTTTTTTTTTTTTTTTTTTTTTTTTTTTTTTTTTTAAGTGGGTGTATAAGTGTTCAACTTTGAAAATCTGTTTCAATTTGTTTTAGGAGGGTTCCATGGACAGCTTGTATGAGCCTGTCCCAGAACAACAAGAACCCAAGGATACAACTAGTATTGGCAGCTGGGCAAGCACTCCTGTGAGCATGCATGTGAACTGTGGACTGCCTGATAGGTCTATGTCTTTGGTAAGTAAAGTTTAATTGCAAAGTATGCAATGTGTCTTGGAATAAAAAATATTAGAGTGTATGCAGACTCACGTGTATTCAGCTGGCTCAGCTGCCAGTTTGAAGTATTTAGGCTCTTTAGAGCCATTGTTCATATCTCATCCCTGTACCCAATGACCTGATTTCTGTCCAGTCTTAACAAGCACACTTTAAAAAGAGGTCATGAGTTTCTATACAGCTAGCAAGAAACTGAGATTAGTACTGCTTCACAATACAAGGAAATTTCTCTTTGCAAGTAATAATGTGTGGAAATACTGGGTACATATATTAGTAGAGTATGTCTTTACAGGATCTACTCTCAATGTCTTTACTTGTCTTTTTGAAAGTGTGGGTTGTATGAATTTTGTAACTGATGACCTCAGTGGAATAGCCTTTACACTTCATAAGACATTGTGAAGTGAACAAGTGAAGGAAGGTTTTTTCTGTTTTTTCTTCTTCAAAAATATTACTCTACTTAATTCTTTATTATTGGTATGTTATTGGTATGAGACTTTGAAAAATAGTTTAATATAGTATATTAAATTTTATAGTCTCTTTCATTTTATAATCTCTTTTCTCTGCTTAACAATGCCTCACTTATAGTTACTGTATCTTTGCCAAATAGTGATATATGATGCAGTCTGATGAAGAAATAAAAAGAAACCACGCTGTTCATTATTCAAGGAAGAGAGACTGCCTTGCCTTCACAAATTACACCAGGTTTTACCCATATGTCCTGTGGCTTAGGTGCTATATTTCGTATAGGTAGGTCCTATATTGGGGCTATGGTATTGCAGAATCACAAGGCAGCTTTGCATGCAGTACTTGTGTGGAGAGAGCGTTTGAGCTGATGGGTTAGGAGAATGGCCAGGGAATTGCTGCATGCACTTGTTGAATCTTGAAAGGAGGGAAACGAATAAATTGTTCTTCTCAGACCCTTCTGCTGCAACCATCTTGCTCTGTGCATGCTCTCTGCCAGGTAATCACCTTGATGCTCTGTGTAATGTTTCTGGTCTTGAGAGCATAGCAGTGCAGAAATCTCCAGAGGCCTCATCAGATCAGCACAGACGTATGAGCCTGGACTCTGAGATGTGCCTGCATTACAGTTTTACTGCAGCGAGTGGGAGATGCTTTCCTGTGTGACAGGATTCTCCCCATTATCTGGTTGTGACATCATTGCTATAAAAACAAGCCCCCTCTACACTGTTCCAGCTAAGTGTTTTTAAGCATGGTTGTGAAATATGGCTGTAACTTGATCTTAGTATGCTTGCAGTATGTCAGATATGCAGAGCTCTATCTATTTGGCTAGGGCTGTGGTACACAACCATACTGAAATATGCTATTCTTTGAATGAAGGTGAGACACTGTAGATCAGCTTCTACATGCATTCAGCCTTTCCCTTTTTGTATGACTGCAAGTCAGCTTACCAGTTAAAGACAACTACACTAATATTTCTTTGTACAATGCCTATCTGCTAGGAACTGGATTTAGCCAAAGTGAACCAAAAATTAAGAGCAGATTTGCTTTTTTGTTTGTGTCCAACATGTGACAAATGACCTCCTCATATACTTTGCTAAAGATAACTATTAGAAACTGTCCTTTGTCTTGTCAAGGTATGATAGAGACAAATCTGTAAAACTGTGTTCAGTACCAGCTTGTTACAATGTGGAATGGTAAGAATTAAGGATGCACTGACCTCAGGTTTTTTAATTTTTGCTTTTTCTTGTTTTGTTCTGTTTTCTGATACAGCAGCATTTCTTCAGAGTCCTCATTATTTTGAGTCAGGTTTGGAACATTTTTCAGCTAAATAAAAGTAATCAACCTGCCCAATAAATAACTTTATTTTTGTTAAGCCAGCCTAGGAAAGCATAGAAAAGCAGCTAAAATGTTAGTGTAGGATTATAAAATCATATATATTAATCTGAACAAATTGTAGCAATTCATTCTTATATTGCTCAGTACTGTTTGTTTGTTTGTTTGTGTTTTTTTGTTTGTTTGTTTGTTTGTTTTTGGGGGGTAGACACTGCCAAGTCCGTGAAGATGCATGTATAACAGTGAATATTGGAAACTTTATTTATTTATTTATTTATTGTTTCTTCTAACTCTTATGATACATTTCTGTTTCCTAAAGCGGTATTTTACTGATGGCACATTTATTCATCATAAATTTAAATTTCATCATCAATAAAAGCTAGGGTAAGTGGGAAAGCAAGCTGTTGGCTCACTAGATATTAACAAGAAGCCTCATAAGACTGGCTGTCGGCTTTATTGTGCTCTGTTTTTAGAGAATATTCAGCTCAGCACTTAACTAAAAATAACGCTTGATGCTGTGTCACTGTGCTGGCTGTAGAATCAAAATGGTTATTTATAAAATACTCACTAGAAATGGAAAACAAGATTAGTGATGACGTGTCGACAGTAAGACCTATGGAAAAATGCTGCTAAGGCCAAAGGACTGTGTAATCTTATCTACTATTTCTAGCATGTGAGTTATTAGACCTACACCTTGGATGAAGCCGTTAAGCTTGTTAACTGAGCCCATTTGTACTTCTCTCCCATTTTTAATTCCGTCACTTGGTTTCATGCTACAGGAAGGCCCCCATAGCATGATAAATTCAGAACATTATTGGCTCCCTCAGGCCCTGATTCAGCCATCTATCATTATTCAGTAATGCACATACTTAAGTGCATCGCTAAGTAGGTATGGGCTTGAGTGTATGTTTAAATGGTTGGCTGAGCCATGGCCATGCAGATTCCACAGTGCTGTTACATATCAGGATGGAGCAGCCTGGCACTGCACATCTTCCTAGGACACTTTGCACCCTTCCTTTTTTCTTTATAAATCAATAGGGCAGGCATTTCAGGTATGCCGCCCTCAACACAAGAGCTAGGCTAGTACAAGAGGAAATTTTTTCCTCCTATTGGAGCGAAGTAATTATTGTCTTGTGTTTATCTTGTCTGTTGTGATTTGTCCTAATCACAGTTGGGCAGTGATGTTTCACCAGAGACATGGAAAATACAGGGTCCTGAGGTGTCTGGAGCCATGCATGATATAATTCAGAGAACACACTCTTTGGACACCTTTTTGATTATTTTTGCTCCTGGCAAAATATGTGCCCAAATGACGCATTCTGGATGAAGAATAATCTTTTGTGTACACTGTTTTTCACATAACTTAGATGACCTATTTAGTATATGAAATGTTTTGCCTGGAATGTTCCCAATCTGTGTTCCTATGGTAATGGCTTGTGCCAGTTATACACACTTGTCTTTTGATTTTAATCCTCACAGGGAACTGGCCTGTTAACTTCCTGGTTACTTTGCCTGTTGCTCAGCTTCAATCATATTCTCAGACAGAAAGCAAAAACTAGGTTTACAGAGCTGTTTCTGAACCTTATAGGAAAGTTGAATCAGGCTTTCCTTGGAAGCAGCTGGTAGCCAAGAGTACATAGTGAATCATGAACCCTTTGCTTCCAACAGTGTTATTAACAGGGAAAATTAATTTCTTCATCCTGCACCTCTTGTAGCTTGGTGTTGCAGTATTCTACCCCATGACCTGTCTTCAGCTTCTTAGGAAAAAAAAAACAAAAAAAACACTTCCATATTAAAACTATTTTCGTATATTTCCCATCAGATTGCAATCACAAATGTCATAAGATCCAAATATTTTTCAACTGCTGACTGTGATATGATTGACTACCCTATATATCAGAAAAGTGCCAAATAATTTATCAGGTTACCTGATAAACCTGAGTTTATTGCCTAAGTTATTAGGCAATAATAATAAGTTATTATTATTATAATAATAATTAAGTTATTATTATAATTTATAAATCTAAGTTATTGCCAGCAAAATCACAATCAGTCATGATACATACTTCAGTATGCAGTGTTGTAATTGGCATTCCATTGATGCCATTGAAGGAAAAATTTCAGTTATCTGAAATCATCTTTTCTCTGTTTGGAAATCTAACAGACACAGGAGTTCTAGTTTCCTCAGCCAGCTTGTAAATACCAGATGGATTAATTATTTAATTCAGAGTTACTTGACAAAAGCAGAGAGGAAAGGACTTTATTAAAAAATTCATAATACTGAGTTTCTACATACATGAGTTTGCCATTAGGAAGCAGGCTATTCATATATGGAATAGGGAATTGTTCCCATTGAAAAGATAATGATGCACTTCGGAGAATGTAGAGAGTAGATTCTAGATGAAATTTAATTTAATTCTAAGCTAAAACATGCTCATAAAAGTGCTTAATTCTTAGTTAGAGATTAAAGGTATAGGGCTTTATAGTATAATCAAGTATCGAAGAGTCTTAAAGAGAAAGAAGTACAAACAAGAATGATTTATTCTTGTTCCCCAAACTAGCTGGCTGATTCAAACATAGCAGGAAGAGGAGCATTCAATGAAAGGAGCCATTTTTAAATGGCCAATGAAATCCACTGTCCTATTCTATTGCAACTCTGCATCCCATGATATCTAGTGAACTCACCACAGTATCGCCTCAGCATATGCCATACACAAATTTTTCACTGCAATTTAAGAAACTGATGCTGATATGTTGGTTTCAAATTGTAGAGCAAAAGATTAAACTTACAATTCTGTTTCATGTTCCATATCAGCTGTTTGGCATGTGAAGATGTGAATTAATAATATTTCCAGGTATATGACCACACTGAATCTTAGATAGTGCCACGTCTCCAGTTTTTGCCCTGGTTCATATACGGATTCTGACTTACAACATCCTGTGGTCTCTGACCTCTATGCATAATGCTTACTTTAATGAGCATCTTTTAAGTCAAAATGTTGATAGTTTTAAGTCATCATGAGATTGCTGGTGCTACCCTTTTTAAGAGCCTTAAAATCTCTTTTTCAACATCTTTCAAAGACTTCTTTAGAGCTATGAAAAGATTTGTCCCAAGACAAACATGCTATTTTGTTTTGATTTGTTTTCTGCAAGAAGTTTTATTCACGTTGCTTGCAATATTTCAAGGTAAAGGGTTTTTGATCTGCATGCAGCATCTGTGAATGAATATATACTTGAAAAAAAAAAAAACAAAAAAAAGTGGAAAATGTATGCAATTGTTAGTGTTCTCAAATGTCCAGATACTTCAGAAGTATCCTTCTGTAGGACATCCTACACTCAGCTGAAATAACCTCAGTGCAGTAAAGCAAGCTTTTCATAACACAGACTCTGAAGAAACTTAAACAAATAAATAAATAAATCTATGCTGGGTTTTACTGAGAGAGGAGAAAAATATAAAATGCTCGGTTATGCACTTGTACAATTTTATGTAGAACATGTTTTGGCTTTTCATCATGCAACCTGAACGTCATTTTAAAATTACTGTAGCCAGAGATCTGCAGAAGTAGATGAAGGAAAATAAAAATAAATAAATAAATAACAATTAAAAAAAAGTTTTGGTTTGGTTTGGTTTGGTTTTGAACGTGTCTTGTTACCCAGCAGATTGAAATGGCATTCATCATGAATGTTTTTACCTTTTTTTTTTTACCTGGTTTCCGCTTTCCAGAATGGAAGACATAAATATGAAAATGATATAGTACTTTTATATTCTGTCTCGGGAGATATCAAAATACTATTCAGATCAGAGATCTCTTCTGTCCTAGAATGACATCCTCAGTTTTACTTAAAGTTAAAATTAAGCTCAAGTTCCAGGGTGACTGTGACAGCAAAAATGCAGGGAGATGTTATGGCATTCCTTACAGAGCGAGGCACCCTTTTCTTCAGTCTTTCAACACACGCATAACTGTTCTCTTCCTTTTTGCCATGTTTTTTCTTTTCCTATGTACTTTATTTAAAGAAAGTCCCAGACTCTGTAGTCACCAGCCACTGCTTGGTCTCCAAAGAAGGACAACAACGTAATCTTCTATGATCCAGACAACTAGGTTCTGAGAATTTCCGTGCAGCACAAGGAGAGAACAGGAAGCAGGTGATGAAAGGTTTAAGCAGATGTTCAACCAAAACTTGCTCATCAAGTGTGGGCAGGTGGCCATCAGCTGGGGCCATGCAGCTCAGTGGTCTTGCCTCCAGCCCAGCATTTGATTCTGATTTTGTGCCTCTTAGAGCTTTATCAGGCTAACTTAAACGACTTTGTTTTACTTGCATTGTATCCTGGTCTCTTCCACGTACAGACTTCCTCTGAATGCATTGAGGTTTCATGGTTTGCATCTTTCTGTGTTCCTTAGAACGCTATGTCCCATTGTAATGTGTGGGCATTTTATCCTCAGAGAACTTTGCGTTTTGGAGGCAACATTTTAAATAATCACGTTATGTTAGAAATTTAATATGCTTTCTTGGGGTAAGAGTGTTGTGCTCTGAGTTTTCAGGGGTTTTCCAGTTGTCAATGTCAACTTCTTGGGTGTCATTGATATTGAAAACACTTAAAATCAGGACACCTAACTACATATATTCTCTGCTGCACTGTCCTCCACAGCTTCAGCTGTCAGAAAAAGACAGGGAATAATAGTGGATATTATTATATAAACATGCCTCAAAAGTACATAAAAGCATCTTTCAGTGTCCTTCCAGTGAGGAAAATATTATATTTGGATTTCTGATTTTCATAGTCTTTTTTTTTTCTCTATCTTTTTAAAAGGAATTTCCTGACTTTGAGAACACAGTGACCAAAAAAAGAAAGTAAGTTGAGACAAGTTCAAGATATACACAGTGTCACTATATTTGTTTGTTCTTTTCACCTTTGTTGTTTTATGAATGTGTTTGACAATGTTGCATTAATTTTCAGAGAGTACATGTATTAATGTTGCAGTTAGGAAGCAAGTAGCAAGCTTGTAATGCATTCGTAAAGCTCTTTTTTTCATATACCTAAAGCTTTCTTCCAAAATAATGGGACCAGGGCAGCTAAAATCAAATGCAGTTAATCTGAGCTTGGTTTAACCATATGCCTGCTTTTCTGAAAGATTGAAGTGGTAACCTATTTTTTAGCGTGTTTGTACCATTGACCTGATAATCTTCTGAAGAGTTCTTTGTGTATTTAATCCAAATAAAAAATTAGTTTGCAAAATGATTCAGATTAAGTGGGTCAGACTGTATTTTATCAAGTACATTTGAGACAGCAGCATATTTCACTTCCATTTGTTAAGACACAGTGCATTGGTTTGGCTTAATGATTAATAAATATTAGTAAACAGGAATTTATTTTGAGAATTCGTTTTTGTCTTGAGATTGAAGGTTATTGCATTACTGAAGAGGTTCCCTTCAAATGAAATCCTGCCTAATGGAATGATACACAACGATCTTATCTGTCTGGCTGTGACAGACATGAAAATCCCTGGATATCATATTATTTTTTCATTTTTTAGGTGGGGCCCCAGTAAACTTAGAAAAGCAATGTTATCTATGTCTATTGCAGAGAAATTTCAAAATAGGTAATGATTTCAATGAAAGCCTCATTTGTCTTAATAAAGAGATTTCATCTATTTTTGTCATCTGATAAAACTACTAGTAAATTATCAGCTGCAAACACAGAGATGTATGTGCTCAGTGCAGTGAAATCTGTTATATGTGACCAGATAGGACTTTGTAAAAACATTCTCCCTTTCCAGACTTCCATTAATCTAAGTATGGATATAACTTTGTTATTCTTATTTTTCTCATCATCCTTTAATACTTTTAAGGAAGCCAAACTACTGTGTGGGCTGGCATGGGTTTACCCAAAGATAAATCATTTAAAATAGCTCTACCAAATATGATGCAATCGCCTACCTGCACAGGTCTCTTGCTTAGATCAGAACCAAGTCTTCCCCAGTGACTGGATTAGTAATTTATAGTTCCACTCTCAAATCTTACAATGCAAACAAAACTATTCTATTCTAAAACTAACTCTATTCCAACTTATTAACCAGAATTTAGAAAGATTATCTTGATCATTTGACTAATCAATATGAATAATGAATAAGATTGGTTACAATAATTTCACTCAATGTGAAAAGATTTAATAGCAAATATTTCACTGCGAATGTCCAGCCTTCACTTATCCAGGCATGATACTCACACTGATGATGACAGAGAGTAAATAAGGAATGATCATTCTCTTTCACTTACACTGTGAAACATAGAAGGAACTAATGAAAAAGAGTAGTAGAAATAAAACAAACAGAAGTATGCCTTAACAGTGGAACTCTGGAAATAAATGAATAAATCAAACTAGTTTCAAAAGGAACTAGCACTTACAGACTTACAGACTAAACAATAGTTCACTTACATCCTGTCACTCAAGAAACCTTCCACCTCCTACCTACATCAATGTGAGAGATGGATTTCAATTTTTGTCCTTTTTCCCTTCTGCTTATCATTGTCACAGATTAAAGACTCTGGTTTTGCCTAGTACAATCTTCTGGCTTCATAGGTAAAATATAACAAATTAATTCACAGGATAAATCTTCATTCAGAGATTTCTTTTTTCTTCTGTTAACTTCATGTATTATTTAACTCATGATCTATAAAGTACTCACTGCAGATAGAAGCTTGAGTTAGCATTATTTCTTGATGTAAACATGCAAAATGCACAAGGTTTATTTGGGCAATAAAAAGTTACTCTAGGTTGTGGCAATGTTGTGTTCATATGTAGCTGTTTGGTTCAATTCATTATTATGTCACCAAACTTCAGACAGTAATTTCTGCAAGTTGTAGGACATTTCAGATCACGTTTAAATAAAAGCATCTGTTATTCTATTTCTGATGGGCTCTCCGATTCAGTCATGAATTCTTAATTACAAAAAGAAAGTTGAATGAAATACTTTTACAGAGTCAAAGTTCAGAAGCTTTCAGAGCTTTGTGTGGCATGTGAAAGTAGATGATTGAGTAAATGAGAAAAGCCAAGTAACCCCAATTAAAGCCGGTGGGAATTACACAGCTAAATCCCTGTGCCCTGCTTTGAAGAATTAGGTTGAAAATATCCATATTTGATTAAATGTATTTTCTTTTTTTCATTCTGACTTTCAGCTAATGGTTAATTCTTTTAATTCTTTTAGATCCATCCAGAAGTCTCTGTCTGAAAATGAAGCATTTGGTTAGTAAATCTTTCAATCATTTACTATAAACTTACTAATCTCACAGTGCCTACTTTAATTAAAAGTCTGTTTTGCTTTACAGCTGTTGGAGAAAATGCAAAGGAAAGGGAAGGAAAAATACACTTAAACTATCAATGCATTCCCCTCTCTCCTTTCTACGGTCATATCTGTAATTAGATATTGAAACCAAACCATTTTAAATCCCAGTTAGATTTCTATTTTTAAGAATCTATTATGGAACAGCACAAGAAATACCCAGCATGTTCAGTGTTTATTTTAATCATTTCAATAAAAAATTGAAATCTCTCTGATATAATCAAATTCAGTTTTCTGCCCTTTCCCATGTTTATCTCATTTGCTTCAGCTTTCACAAACAAGTTTTCCAAAGAAGAAATTCAAGTTTTTTTCAAATGTTTCTGACACTCTGTGTTATCATATATATTATCATGCACACTTCGATTCAATCAGTTCTATTTTGTATATCATCTGTAGGAAATAACACTTCTTTTTTTTTTTTTTTTTTGTGTGTGTGTGTGTGTGTGTGTGTGTGAGCACTTCCTGTTAACATTGTGTTAGTAATGTTCTGAAGTTTGGAAAATTTAGATGCTGTATCTAGTCCTAGCTGAGTTTAAAGAAAGAAAAAAAAGAAAAAAAAGGTACAAAAACTTCATAGTTATCAACACACTGTGAAGCATGACCACTGTGTTGTTCACCAAGGGAACAGGAGAATCGCCATCTAGTTTTGGGAGACTATATAGCTTCTCACATTCAAGCTGAGGCAGTATCAGCCTTAGATGTGTGTGACATGGTTGTGGGCATCTTTGATGTTATTTCTTGCTGGTGCTAACACACTATCTGATTAGCTGTAAAATTCAAAACAAAACAAAACAAAACAAAAAATGCAATTCCTGGAAGCAAAATAAAGGTACATGTGTTCTGTGGGCTGCTAGGTCTTAAAAACTGTGTTAAGACAAAAATCATTCTGATCATGTTTTAACGGTATTAGGTGAGGTATTAGACAGTGAGAAAAGATGATAAAACTTGAAGTCGGCCCATAATAAATAGAATCATAGAATCATAGAATATCCTGAGTTGGAAGGGACCCTTAAGGATCATCAAGTCCAACTCTTGACACCGCACAGGTCTACCCAAAAGTTCAGACCATGTGACTAAGCGCACAGTCCAATCTCTTCTTAAATTCAGACAGGCTCGGTGCAGTGACCACTTCCCTGGGGAGCCTGTTCCAGTGTGCAACCACCCTCTCTGTGAAGAACCCCCTCCTGATGTCAAGCCTAAATTTCCCCTGCCTCAGCTTAACCCCGTTCACGCGGGTCCTGTCACTGGTGTTAATGGAGAAAAGATAGCCTCTGTCCATCAAATTTCCTATATTGCAAAATCATCTATTCATTTCCATGTTTGACTAGTTTCTATAGCATTCCACAATCTTGTTTGATTTGTATTCTGATGCTATTTTTATAGACTTTCCTGTTATTTCACAGATTTGCTATGAATTCAGGTGACTGCTCTCTGTGCTTTTACTTTAGACAGGAAAAATGTGAATGGCACACTTTGGCAGGGTTCCAGGAAGCCAGAAAATGATTCGTACATCAGAAGGCACTGTCAGCTTGAAGGTAATTGCTAAATGTTTTTCAGCTGATTTTGCATTTTCCACAAAGTATTTTAAAGGGCACATAAGAAAATTTTTCATTTTTCACCAATAATTGAGCTAAATAATTTGTCAAGTCCTTTTTGAGATCTACTTTGTCCTCAAGGAAGGAAAATGTAGTTTAAATAAAGCTTACGTTAAAACTAGGAAGATAAGAACACACTGTGAACAATTCACTCTGTGGTCCATGGGCCAAAGAAGACTTCTACAGTAAATCACAATAGTTATGTTGCACAGGGCTTGACAATTGTAATATGAGCCTAAAGAAGGAATCCATGTTCCCTGTATCCTTTACAGTACTCCAAATATCCAACCTCTTGTGTAGGTGTGATTTTTGTAGGTAAACCTTTTATCCAATTATCTTTCTAAAGCCTGTTTCAATGAACTTTAATTGAAACAACTTTACAGCTAATGTATGGGAATTTGCTAGTGCACTGTTTAAGAGTTGACCAGTATAAATCCATTAAATTAACCATAAGAAATAACAACTGAGCAGTCACCTTGTCTTAAAGATAAACCTTAAACATAAATTAGACTTTTAAAAATCAAAATTCTTTGACAATCTGCTTAACATTGCTTCCAGGAATTAAGTTTGTATTTGTATTTTTTTTAAGTCAGTTTGCCATTACAGTTGCCTAATCAGACCAAAACAGTAAAAGTTCAGCACCTGTATTAGCAGAAACAGAAACCTTGACATGTAAGATTAAAGTGGATGTATCTTGTATTCTCTGCTTAAGCTAGCAATGTGACAAGATGAGAAGTGTATTTACTTTTAATATCTCCTGTACAAATTGTTTAGGTATCATCCACTGTTCAGAGATTCCACTGTTAACTCGATATTCCAAAGATAGCAGAGGACAGAGTGCCAGGTTTCCCTCTGGGTTTCATTCACTTCATCACTTGAAGATAAAGTGGTGAAGTGAAAATAGATCTGAAATTGTAATGTCAAATGCATTTGCTCATATATGTGTGAATAGGCTTTCTAGGAACCAGAACAAGAATGAAGATATGACAATAAAATTCAGAGGAACTCTGCCCTTGTGATGAACTGATGAGGGGAAAAGGAGTCTTACTGTTCTATAAGAAGAAAGGTTATGATAGGAGATAGAAAATGATAGGTGAAAGAAAAATTACACATTTATTTCCTGACAAGTCTTACTTTTATCCAAAAACATTTCAGAATGATTCTTCAGTGTACTGCACAGGTTGTCAGTTTGGAGGTGGAAAAAAGCTGAATCAGAGAACAGAACTTTTTGACCTTCCTCCAGACTCAAGACTTTTTTTTTTTCTTTTTTTTTTCACCCTTTTAAATATCCAAAGCATGCAAAAGAAGCAGTGCACATTTTAAAAGCTGACAAGTGTTGTAATTGAAGGGCAGGGGCCCAGAGGGAACAGGAAGCAAAGCTGGCAGCTAAATAAAAATCTCCCTTTCCCACACTGCAGTAAAATTATTAAAAGGGAAGTCCCCTTTGCACAGTGGTGAAAACCACTTTTCAGAAGATTTACTGTTCATTGCTATTGATCAAGCTAATTTGTCAGTATTGATCAAACCTTTCCCTTAACAGAGATAATCCTTCAAGGTCTGTAAGTCTATTGCATAATATGAATTTCTGTTAGACCTGATCCAAATCTCACTGAAGTCAATGAAAAGACATCCTTTGACTCCTGTAGCCTTTGCATTGGCTCTTTAATGTGTCTGTGTGTACAACCTCTAGAAAAAAAATATATATCAGTTTTTCAAACTTATTGGGCAGTAAAACATACATATCTTACAGACAGAACAGTGGGAATACCCATCTCTGGTCACATGCCCAAACCCAAATCATCAGCACCAGACTTGCCAGCCCGAAAGTGCCATTACTAAAAAAGTTGATTATGTGAGTCACAGTCATTCCAGTTCCATTAAAGAGCATTTCTGAGACAAACAGAAAAGGACTGATACCTTGCAGTGTAATTCAGAGTAATTCTCTGCTGCTCCTAACTCACTCCACAGAAAAGTGACCAGAAAGAGCCCAGTTATGTTAATCTGGCTTTGCATAAGAATTTATTGACATGAGTTTTGATGGCTACAGAAGTCCAGCTAGCTCTATATTTAAATAAACGGATGGATTATCAGACACCTGGCTCTCAGTGACTTCAAGGAAATTTGTAGGTGCTTGAGATGTCTGGTCAGTCATGTTAGATTTTGGACTCTAACATACTTTTTGGAAAACGTGGGTGTTACTGGAATAATCGGGTCTGTAGGAGAAAGACAGTGTCTTCTAAGCATATATAATCTCTTATGGAAACCTCTAAAGGCAAACTCATGTAAAAAATAATTTCTGTGATCCATTTTCCCTCTTTCTGTTGACGTACATGCCAAATAAAGGAAATTGTTTGATGGGGGTTTCCTGTGCAACTGACCTATATTTTAAAGGCAGAACTAAGGTGTGAAAGCAGTGTATCTCTTTTTCATCTCATGCTCAGATTGTAATTTTGGGGTTTTAACTCAATCTTACAATATCCAAGTAATTGCAAGGAAGATTGTGTTATTTTGTTTCAATTTTTTGTTTGCAGAGGGTTGTCCTTTAAGAATATTACCAACCCTAAGTATGTCTCTTGATTCAAAATTTTCTTTAAAAATAGTATTAAAATATAGGGGCTAATTTGCCTGTAACTTGCCCTTTAACTGTTTGACTGACATGAAATTAGGGGTGTTTCACCAGCTTTACACACACTGTGGTCTCATTTAATTCTAATGTAAGTCTAGGTTTTTTGAGGACTGCATCTTACTTACCTTTTTGAATATAAATTTGCATGCTTATATCAAAATACTTTTTTTTTTTTTTTTTTCATATGATGGATGAAGAATCTCAGTCAGTTGAAGTTGAATGAACCTTTCTTTTCCTGTTAATCGGAGAGGGAAAAAAAAACACAAGGCAATCATTCTTGCCTGCCTACAATTTCTGAATCTATATTTTAAGTTAGCTGTCCTTTTTCAAGAAGGAGAATTACTGATATTGTAAGGTATTCCTCAGCAGCAATAAGGAAACCAAGATAGCATTCATGAGGAAAACAAAACAAAACAAAACAAAACAAATATTCCTACTCTTTCCTAATAACTTTGGAAAGCCAGAGTAGCACTTAATGCTGTGATTTGCAAGTGATGTTTCTTTTGTTTTTTCTTGCAAAATAACTGGGTGCCTCTGATGTCTGTGTTGATGGAATGCACTTGCTAGGGCATTTCTATAATAGTGTAATTGTAGATGCTTTGCCTTCACTTAATTTTGGAAGTGAGAGAAGAGCTTTCAAAGTGAGTGTAGATCTTTTTCTTCTTAAAGACTTATTAAAATGTAGGCTTTTCAGAGTCATTTGACCTATTATTGTTCATTGTTGTAATGAAGGTAAATATTCTTCCCAAGTAAAGCATTAATGTCTTGGAAGGAATAGGTGGAAGTTCATCCTCTGAAAGTAATTTCAAAAGATCAAGTCACAAAGATCTCAATTGCAAAGACCATTTTTGCCCAGGGGCTTCATTTTTTTATATGAATATTCCAAACATTTCTGTGCTACATAGCTGAGCAGGAGGGAGCACTTGGTGGGAGTTTGGATCAGTAAACTGAGGACTAAATTCAGATAAAGAAATAAGCATGAATGAGTTTTATTTGTGTGTGTCAGTTTGCCAATTTGTTCTGTAGTCTAACTTCAAAGTAGTTTTGAGATAAAATGCATGCTAAATGACACAAGATAAACTTCAGAGTCAAAATGTCAGCTCAAAATATCAAGTGCAATTCATATGATACTCCTTGAAAAAACTTAAAACAGGGTATTTGAAAGCACATTTTCTTTCCTTTTTTTTTTTTTTTCTTGGTCACAATTCACAATTCTCAGAAGATAATATTATTGGTGATGGAATGCATTTACTGAAAGGAAAGAAGATAGAAGAAACAACATGCCAGGTAAAAGAACTACTCTTCAGATTCTAAAATTTCATTTAAACATCAAGCATATTTCTTCCTTCCATTCAGTATGAATTTGCCAACCATACACTTCATGGTCAATATACCTGTGTATTTTAAAAGCCAGGCTCAAAAGACTAATGACTACCTGAGCAATGCATCATTTTCATTGTGATGAACATATGGGTTTTATTACTCAGAAAACTTTTCATTTTCCTGAACAAACACATTTCTTTTAAATTGATGTGCTAGAATTGTAAAAAGTAAGACCTGTACCAAATATTTATATCAGTCTTTTTGGTACATGTATTCTAATGCTTTTTGAATTTATATAAACATATATCATGTCTCCTCTTCATAATAACACATTAATCAGCCCACTAGTATGAGCAAATAAGGAATTCTGACCCCTGAGTTTGCATAATTATAGTAACATAAATGTAGTTAACAACCCATCAGCTGATGAGCAGTGAGCAGCAGAGAAAGTGATACACCAGAGGGTTATGCCCTTCAGAGGGACTTCAACAGGATGGAAAAATAGGCCAACAGGAACCTCATCATGTTCAATAAAGGGAAGTGCAAAGTCCTGAACCTGGGGATGAATAACCCCTTCCCTTGGTACAGGCTAGGGGCCAACTGGCTGGAAAGCAGCTTAGCAGAAAAGGACCAATGAGTCCTGGTTGACACCAAGCTGACCATGAGCCAGCAATGTGTCATTGGAGCAAAGATCAACAGCCTTCTGGGCTGCATTAGGCAGAGCATTGCCAGCAAATTGAGGAGGGTGATCCTTCTTCTTTGCTTAGCACTGGTGAGCTGACCCACTCCATATGGGCGTTGCATCCAGCTTTTGGCTCCTGGATACAAGAGAAACAAGGAAATACTGGAGTAAACCCAGTGAAAGGCCACAAAGATGGTTAAGGTACTGGAACACCTGTTATACAAGAAGTTGAGAGAGCTGGACTTGTTCTGCCTAAAGCAGAAAAGGCTCAGGGGTATTACTTCACTCAGAGGGTGGTGAGGCACTGGAACTGGTTGCCCAGAGAGGCTGTGGATGCCCCATCACTGGAAGTGGTCAAGGCCAGGTTGGACGGGGCCCTAGGCAATCTGGTCTAATGGGTGGCATCTCTGCCTATGGAAGAGGGATTGGAACTAAAGGATCTATAAAGTCCCTTCCAACCTGAGCTATTCTATGATTCTATCCAACCCATGTGTATAAATACCTGATGGGAGAGTAAAGAAAAGAGATTCAACTCTTGTCACGGGTGCCTAGTGACAGGACAACAGGCAACGGGCACAAACTGAAATACTGAAAATTCCATTTAACATAAAGAAAGCTTTTTTTTTTTTTTTAACTGTGAGGGTGGCTGAAAGAGGATGCTCAGATTGGGCATGGAATCTGAGCATGGAATTTTGGAGATGGTTAAAATCTGCCAGGACACAGACATGGGTAACCTGCTGTAGCAAACCTGCTCTTACTAGATGTTCCACAGAGGCGACATGAGTCTGTGATTCTATGAGACATGGAAGAGTCAAATGTGCAAAAAAGAACAACTAAAATAAATTAGTATTTTATCTCTCTCTCTTAAAGCAAATAAACTTCTCTGAGTGCTTCATGAAAACTTTAGTTCCTCTCCAGTTCCTAACTAGAAGTTCATTTCATTCCATTCCTTTCAGTCTGTAAGCAATGGAAAACAGGAGATTGGAACAAAAGTACAGGTTGAAAAACATAGCATGAGAAACACTGTAATAATTGAACTTTACCATAAAAAATAGCTTTACCATCTGCATTTATTTTTCTTTTCTTTGTTCTTGTTTGTTCATGTCTAGCAGGGCTCCTTTGATAGCCCAAGCTCTTTGTAGTACATTTGGAAAAGAAATAAAATATGAAGTAATACAGTTTTGGGCTAATACATTTTCAAAAATGTTTCATGCCTCATTTCTCACGTAAATTCTTAGGTTGCATTCAGCCTTCAAAGTGTCATTCATATTCATGAAGAAAAAAGGCTAGTGTTCATTACTTTCACTGATAAGCTATAAGCACTGTCAGGCTTGCCCACCAGGGACTTCATCAGTGCCCCAGGGAAAGTGTATTCTCATGATGTTCCTCTCACGAGGACGTTGCAACCAAGAAATTGATGATGAAAGTATATATAGACTTGTCTTTGCTTAGTTCTGAGGACCATCCCATTTTCTTTGCATTATTAATCCAATTCATACTCACACCCCTGGGGCTCAGCATTACAGGCAAAAAGAAGCAAAATGAATGAGGCTCTTTGTAGAAATGCACCAGTGACACTTGTTCCTCAACCAGGGATATGCTGAGGAAAGACTTGGGGCTTTCCTGCTCACACAGAAAGGAGAGCCAAGATCTAGGACGAGATCCAAGCATCCCATGATTTAATACATACACTGATGCTTCCAAGATGTCCCAGATAGCTGAGGATATTAACACAGCTTGATATCAAACTGATTTCACTGGGTGCCAGCAGCTGGTGTCTGTCAGCCATTGCTTTTGTATGCACACAGTATTTCATTGAAAGACTGCTGTATTTGATGACGTGATAGTAATTATTTATGTCAGATATTTTTTTTTCTTTTTTACTTTTCTTACCATCTAGGTGATAAATTATGAGCAGTGGATTCCACCGCGAGTTCACAATCCAAGAGCAGCTGGTAATGGTGAAATGGTGAGTTGCCATGAAAATTGTTCACTTTTTTTCATCAGTGGATAGCATAGAAAGAACATGATGTTTTAATAGGGTTTCCTTTACTGCATGTGGCTTCCCTAAAAGTTGAAAGATCTTTATCCAAATCTATGCTATTAATCATATTTCTTTATCTTTTATAGAATATCTTCTTATTGCTCTGTGATTCCACGAGATAAAATCTACCTATAATCCTAGCCTGCTAAGTTTGTCTCTGAAGTTATTGCTGAGTAGCTAGAGAATCAGACTAAAGTAATGTGAATATTTAAAGGTTAGACTGGTATATATGGGCAGGAGCATACAAAAGAAGTTTTAGTACTTGTTTGTATATTGGTTGATAGTGTCTTTACTGAAATTTTTTAACATAAAATTTATCCAAATTTTACAGAACTAACTCTGTGTACAAATATAGTAGAATACTCTATATCATGTACTACTTTAATAGTTATTATGTGCAGCAGGAATATTACTGAAACTTTCAAAAAATTCTACATTACAATAATAGTAGCACCATAGACACAATAAGGATGCAATAATTTTTCTCTTCTTACTATTATATTGTACTGTGAATGTAAGTGCAATACTAATTATGATTAAATCATTGCAGCTCTTTGGGAAAGGCAAATGAGTTCAGGGAAAATCATGAAGACTAGATTCTGCCATGACTAAATTCTTTATGCTAAAAAGTGACATGCTGTGCAAGTACTTTTATTGAAATTAATGCAGTTACGCCCAGGAAAGGGAGTGCTCAACAGGACAGAGATAGCTGGATTCAGGCCAACAGTGTTTTACATTTAGCTTTCAAATTGCTGTACTTCTGTCACCAGGTTAATCCTTAGAGCATCTCAGTGAGCAGGGATTTCTAAGGTATTTGGAATATATTAAGATACACTGAGAACTGTTTACCAGGCACAATTTAACTCTTTTTGTCTGTAATACATGTTGATAAGTACATTTTTAAATGTATACTTTTGGCCATAATTATTCATGTACACTTCATGCAAATTATTTGCAACTAAAACACAGCTTGTGGTTTTTCTTGGTTTTTATTTATTTATTTTATTTTATTTTATTTGTGATGTGACAACATTTTGCATGATTGATATCTCTCAAGCAGTGAAATAAAGAATATTCTTATTCTTGAGGGAATCCTTAGCTTATAGATAGCTTCAGGAGCTTTCTTCTATGAAGAAAGGCTGAGAGAGCTGGGGCTGTGCAGCCTGGAGAAGGCTCAGGAGTGACCTTATTGCAGCTTTTCAGTACTTACAGGGGCTTATATAAAAGGCAGAGAGTAACTTTTTTCTCAGTCAGACAATGAAAGGACATGGAGGAATGGTTTGAAACTAAAAAAGGAGAGATTTAGATTAGCTTTTATGAGGAAATTCTTCACTCAGAGGGTGGTGAGGCACTGGAACATCCCTGGAGGTGGCTTTGAGCAACCTGGTCTAATGGAAGGTGTCCCTGCCCATGGCAGGAGGGGTGTAACTAGAGGGTCTCTAAGGTCCCTTCCAACCCAAACAGTTCTATGATTCTATAATTATAGATAGCTTTGGTCACTGATTGTACAAGCATAGCTTAACATTCAGATAAGCAAATGCTCTGACCCTAAAACACAAAGGAAAACAAACATAAAAACAAACAAACAAACAAAACAAAACAAAACAAAAAAAATCACCAAAGTCAAAGGTCTTTAAATGTGTCTGAAATTAACAATTTTTGTGAGGGGAGTCTTATTGCTTTGTGTATTGGCTTCCAATATCTCCCCAGTGTTCCTTGCTGAATATCATTCCACTTGCACAGAGGAAGAATGTACTGGAAAGTAGCATACTCCAAATTAGTATCCATCATTACTAGTTCAACCAGTAGCACTATACTTCCGTCCGCTATACTGTGGACAGTAGCAACCAGAGATGCCACTTTCCATATAACAAAAGCAGCAAGAAGAAAGTTGCTTGAAACCAAAGCGTAACATTTAACAGTTTCAAAAAGCTTTAACACTTTCAAAAATCTCTGGCTAAAGCTTGCCAGGACAACACCTAAATTGTGTGAGACACAAGGATCAGTTTATCTGTTGGTCTATTTGGTTTCTACAGAAAGGAACATTTTATTTCATTTGGATAGGGAACTAAACTTCTGGGTTTTAATGCTTAGGTAAACCAAAATAAAATACTGTAAATTTAAAAGCTGTCCCATCACTGACTGATACTGCATGAGTTTTGTTTCTCTGTAAAAGAGGGTTCCTGCATTTATTAAGTACAGATGGTGTTTCACTAACAGTAGACTCTCCCCAATGAAAAGCAAAGAGGATTAGAGTTTGCCATTAAAAAATTATCTGAATAGATTATCTTCTGTTTATCTTGATGTCTCCATGATGAAAATCCCAGATCATACCTCAGTCATCATGTTGCTTTTGTATTATTACTTATAAGTGAAAAAATGATTATTGCTACGAGAGTTCTCATCTAACAGAGCAATATTAGCATTTTAAATCCTTTGTGTTTCATTTTGCAAAGACATTACACAATGGGGGACTGAAAAATTACACTTCAATTTCTGTCCTTAAATAAGCTAAAACCGCAGTCCTGCTATCCTGAATTTGGACGAGGAGACAAGGGCTTGAAATAAATCAGAACATGACTAATCTAACACTGTTTGGATTTGACCCACAGTTGATGATGAATATTCAGATACAAGCTGTAAAAGGACCCTAAGCTTACTAGAGCTTTAAGGTGGATCTGCTTAGTCTTTATTTACAGACTCCTTAAGAAGGCAGAGAAGATTTTATGTCAGACTGAAAGAGAACTCAACAGTTTCTGGACTGATTTGCCACAGCTGCCGGTTTAATACAACTTGAAAGCATGGGAGATGGCCACATATTCACTAAGTTCCTCTCTAACAGTCTGTAAAACCCAAACCTTGAGTTACATCAATCAGGCATTATTGAACTGAACAATAATAGATCTGAATTGTCATTTATGTTATTGCCATTTAGTCTAGGAAAGAAAGCAAACTCTTGATTTAAGGAATTATACCAATCAGTATTTCAGAATACACTACTATACATATTTAAATGCAGTAGTTTGACATTTCTGGGATTTCTGAGCATGCTTAAAATGATTCTGGATAACATAGGAGACATAAGTATTAAAATTCTTTTTGGAATTAAGTATTAAGTAATTTATAGTGTATTAAAGTAATATGTAAATATCAATACAAACACACATCAAAATTTATTGTCTCTTGTGACTTGCCTTTTCCTTTCTTTGTATCTATTGGTCACAGGTAAGGAAATGCCTAAGTTTTAAACCACTGTGAAGATAATTAATTCTTTGAAGATGAGATTTTATTGTTCTCAAAATAAGTACCAGGTTACCTTTATATTTTGTTGTTTTTGTTTGTTTGTTGAGGTTTTAATACTATTAACATATTTGTTTTTTTGCCAGGCTACAGAAGCAGATGACAAAGCAGAGTCCATGGGAACATTAAAACAATTGCAGAAATTGGTCCGAACCAAAAAAAACAACACACAAAGCTTGGAGGATGTCAAACATGTTTTGATCCCTCTTAGTAAGTAAAGCATCATATCAGCATTCTTTCCAACATTTGGCAAATGTCAGTATTGAGCATAACTATAAACAGTCCTCTCCTGGTCTGTCATTCACCACCCACGATTTTCAAACCCTAGCTGAGATGTTACTGTGATAGCACTTTAGTGCTGACTTCCTGGTAGTGTGAAAACCTGTTTCCTGTCACACTAGCTTGAGTTTTGTAACAGTGTATCTTGCAAGTGGGGATTTCAGCTAAATAGAATTGTATAATACTGGGGCCTTCATGCTGAGGACAATTTGTTTTTAAGAGTAGTTCCTGTTTTTGTATTGTGTTTCATATCAGGAATGAAAAACTCACAAATGCAGAGATAACTTTCAGTGTTAATCCATGAGTCAGTAGCAGCTGGGAGTGCAAGAAGGTCTGCGGAATGACACGAAAGTCAATCTCATCATACCTGATTGCCTTAGCCTGTAAGACGTGGTGTTCTAAATTGATGCTGAGCATGGGTTATTTTCTTGAGTCTCCTCCTACAGATAACTGGTCTGACTGTGCAGCAGTTCTTCATCTGAACTTATTTTGCCAACATTTATTTAATGGTGCATGCATATCAAGTAGAATGCGCCGGAATATATGATTATTTTAAAGCTAATACCGGCAATTGAATTTAAATTATCTGATGAACTACTCCAAACAGGTCATTTTTGGAGATGAAACACATGAGGAAATTTAGATTTCAGCCATTACTTTGTAATTTAGAAAGAAATGGAAAGATATGGGAGGGGATTTATCTAGAAAAAACATCTGACCTTTTTCCAGTATTTAAACTAAATTCACACTCTCTGCAACTATTGCAGCAATATGACATCTAATTAGCAAATTTTTATGTTCATTGCCGAAACAGTACGAATTTCCAGGCTTTTGAGGGAACGACACAAATTTACAAAATGGAGAATAAATCTCGCTTTTGGCTCAGATGTCTGACCCACTACAAAATCCTTTCCATCTCCCTAATTATGAAGGTTTTTTCCTAATGTAGTTCTTGGCTGTTTCATTATTTAAAATGCAACATACACCACTTAAACAAAAAAACACAAACACAAAAAAAAAGAAACCCACTCTGTTATGTTCTGTTTTAAGTGTTTGAAGTGCAACACATTATAATACAAGTATTTGTATTTTTAAAGATACCTTAGAAGATCCTTATCTCTCTGAAGAGGATGAAGAAGCATTAACTTCATGCATGAAACTAACAAAACCTCAGGAAAAAAAGATCTGGAAAGACAATGTGAGGAGAAAAGAAGAGACTGAGACTAGGGCAGAGTTTATTTCTGCATCTTTGGGGCGATCATATACTTCCAAATTTAATAATTTAGGAACAATTTCAATCCATTCAGAAGCTGAATTTCATTTGTGGAGTGACTGGAAGCCATTTCCTGATAACCAACTCTGTCCTTGTGATTTCTTGATTTCAAAAATAGAAGAATGGGAAAACTGTACTTGCTCTTCTCATCACCCACATCTTACTTATTCCCTAACTGATATGGATCTGCAGTACTCCTGGGTAAGTGAAAGTGGTTTCTTTTGTACTGAAATGTGTAAAAAGTAGAAGTTTTTGCTCTGGTTCAGCATAAAGAGATGCTGTCATTTTCCATATGGTTATGAAATGCAGTAAAACAGATTTAGATTTCAAGTAAATGGACATGAATGTGTCATTCAGACTAACACCAGGGGTTCATATACCCTGAGGTAGTTCATTTTCAACCATGCAGACATCAGCAGCATTGAGCCGGAAAGGTTTAGACTATTATGCTTCTCATCAGACACATTGGATTTTTTATCTGGATATTAAATACTCATCCTTCCAGGCTTAGAAAGCTTTTTTTGGAAATCTGGGGTAAGCAAAAGTCAGTTGAAAGGTCAATGAAACCAGTGGGCTTGGATCAGACCCCTACAGGTCACTGTAGTAAAGGACACTAGAGTTATTTACAGAAAGTTCAGAGGCTGAAGAAGTATTGATGTTTCTGCCTTCTTGGATCAGGTCAGCTGTTGGAACCTGTTTTTTGCAATTACCTTTGTGGCAACAAGAAGTTCTTAGGGGTGGATAGAAAGGAGCAGATTATGATCTTGTTCTGAAATTGTCTTTCTGGATAGCTATGTGTAGAACACCTTTCTGTTTTATTTACTTTTGTTTGCTTGTTTGTTTTAAGACAATTTAAAACTTGGGGGAGGGGAGGGAAAGAAAAACTTCAGTTGGCAAGATATACAAATGATGGACACTGCGATGAGATTTTTCTCCCTCTTCTTACTGGACACAACAGGTCTTCTGGCACTCCATGTGATGGTGGTAAGCACATGGAAAGTGACTGAAGTGACCAGCTGACTGAAAAATATCAGGGGGAAAGAAAAGTAAAGAGCAGCCTCCTTTCCTTTTATGAATCTACCCTAATACAGTGCTCCAGGGACTGAAGGAATTTCCCTTTGAAGGGGAGAAGCATAACCCAAATTTTTAAAAAGGGAAAAAAAGAAGACTGGGGGTACTACAAGGCCAGTCAGTTTCACCTCTGTGCCAGCAAGATCATGGAGCAGATCCTACTGGAAACTGTACTAAGGCACATGGAAAATAAAGAGGTGTTAGGTGACAACCAGCATGGCTTCGTCAAGAGCAGATCATGCCTGAAGTATCTGGTGGCCTTCTATGATGGGGTTACAGCACTGGTAGATAGGAGAAGACCAATTGACATCATCTACCTGGACTTGTGCAAAGAATTTGACACTGTCCCCCATGAAGTTTGTGTCTCTAAATTGAAGAGACATGGATTTGACCGATAGGCTGCTTGGTGGGCGAGGAATTGGCTGGATGGTTATACTCAAGAAGTTGTTGTCAACTGCTCAATGTCCAAGTAGAGTGACGAGTGCTGTTCCCAGCGGTTGGTACTGGGACCCGTGCTGTTAAACACTCTTAAGAAGACAGGCTGAGGGAGTCACTACCTAAAGAGGACCTACAAGAAAACAGGAGAGGGACTCCTTGTTATGGAGTGTAGTGATAGGACAAAGAGTAATGGTTTTAAACTAAAAGAGGGTAGATTTAGGAAGAAATTCTTTACTGTGAAGGTGGTGAGGTACAGATTGCACAAAGAAGCTGGGGATGCCCCCTCCCTGGAGGTGTTCAAGGCCAGGCTAGATGGGGCTTTGAGCAACCTGTTCTAGTGGGAGGTGTCCCTGCCCATAGCAAAGGGCTTGGAACTGCTCTTTAAGGTCCCTTCCAATTCAAACCGTTCTGTGATTCTGTGATACTGTGCAATAATGCCAGCTCCCAGGAAAGTGAATCTAAACCACAGGAGGCAAGATAGCTGCAGACACCTGCCGTCTGCGTGTTCAAATGGAGCCCCGAGTAACCAGAACCTCATATCAGAGTGTCTCCTGTCCTGACTTTGTACGTGCTGAAAACAGCATTTTCTCTAATGTGTCCTCATATATCTTTAGGAAGGGTACACACACACAACAGATCATTACTGCAATGAAGTGGGTCAATATAGCAATCATATTCTTAAATACATTAAGGTAGTCATTTAGCTTTTTTATATATATATATATATATATATGATATAGTAGTCCACGCAACAAAAGCAGTACATGATACATGGGATTTGTCTTTCTAAATGAAGCACATAAGATTTTCAAGGGATTTGATATAGAAAACAGAAAGGCTAAAGCATTGATTGATAGAACTATAATAAGGAGAGAGAGAAAACTGACCTAGAAAAAGTTAATAAAGATGCAGCAGTGATACCCTGGATAGGCTCAGCAGCACAGACTACAAATGAGAGCCCCTGGAGACAGACCTTTGGGCCAGAGTTTTGGCAGAAATAGGCTCAGAGAAGTGCATAAAGACTGTGCTCTTTGGGGTGAGTCCTCCTGTCTGTGAGTCAATAGGATTCCCTGTAGAAGCCAGATTGTGTCGGGAACACTGGCCTCCATCATATGCCAGCTCCTAATGAAAGCAACTCTCAGCATCTCAAGCTAAGGCTGAAGCCCCTGGGCAAATGCTATTAGTATTTTAATAGTATGGATGTATGGGTCAGATTTATGAGAGCATAAGTGTCAATTCAAATAATTCTATTTCATTTTGTCACAAACAGTCTGTTAACATTCTCTACCCTGGTGAGATTTGTCCTGCACATGTTACTATTAAGTGCCAGCAAGAGGTTTAGTGCTTTTTCTTTTTTTCTGCATTATTGTTTATTTTGCCATCTGCTTTCCCGATGGGCAGTTTGCTCCCTGACTTTAATGTATCTCTGTGGGTTTAGTCTCTTTAGATTTACAGGCAGTGGTAAGACATCTCATTTTTTGCATTTACATTCTACCAACTGGCTCAATTGAAGATTACAAGGACTGGATTTTCGATTTTGCTTTTAAAGAATCAAAAAAGCCAACACTGGTGATTTTGCTATGAGGGGATTAGACTCAGAGGATGATACAGATGTTCTTTCTGATGTTGATTTACTTACTAGAGTAAACCCAAAATTTTGCATAATACTCTTTCTGATTCTATAAGTAAAGTAAAATGTTATTTTCTTGGCTGATCTTGGCTTGGCACCTACTCTCTTTTTTTTGCTACAGCATGATGTGGAAGAGATAGCCTGAGATGTGGTACTGAAATGCCTGAATGTCCTGAATTGAAGCAAATAGCCAAAACTTGTATATGTAAGACTCAGGTCCTATTCTGTCAGCAAACTTTGGCCAATTTAGTTATGGGAATAGACAAATCTCTAGGTTGGATACACGCTATCCAGATTCACCCTGGCAACATATACAAATCTGATTGGAGCCTAACCTTAATCGAAGCTTGATATGCAGATAGTAAATTATCAGTAAATTATTCCTGTTATCACAAGGAAAAAAAATAAAATAAAATGGATCTCTTAGTAATAGCTTGCTATTTGGAGAGAAAAATATGAGTAATCCCAATTCTCTTCCTCCAGTTTCTTCCCTGGATTTCTTTCCTTTCTTTCTCTTCTATTCCTCC